GGGGGCAGATATTTTCGGGAACAGCCAGCCAATCGCGGCCGCGTAGCGACTGTTTACATTATTTGAAATTTGATATTCAAAATAAAACTCCTTCGATCGGATACTGTATAAAACTCGAGATGTTCTCGAAGAAAAGAAAATTAAACGACGGAGATTGAAGAAATTTAAGGAAGAAGTAATATACAGCGGCTCTTTGTTGGAAAGTATGGTAGAATATGATACTTTAATTCGAAATATTATCGTGAATATATCAGTGGCATCCCCCCCCCCTGTAAATCCAACGGTAAAGGAGGCCTGGTTGCGCAGACGTTCGCCGTAGTAATTTTCGGTCCGGGTAAGTTCAATATAAAATGGGTTTTGATTTCCATTGTTAAAATATGGTCCAAAACTTGTAAATCTCGCCGAAGTACCTCTGTATTCAACCTCGTACCCAGGCTCTTACATACGCACGCCCCAAGCTGCTGAAAGACCCTGGTGCCGGCTGGTTACGTGGCTCCCAGATTTTGGGTGCTAAAATAAATTGCTATTCAGGGAGGGGTGGTAGAAATTATTTGTACGTATTGAAACTGTTTCTAAATTTGTAAAATAGTAAAATTCTAACTGTACTGTACGAGACAATAATAAAAGATTTTTTCTTGACAATATTTTAAAACAACAGATTAATCATGTGTTGCAACCGAAAGAGTATAATATTACTCTCAAGGATTACAAATATCTCATATTTCGCTGTCACTATATCGGCTTAGCAAAAGCACGCCAAAGAAATTTAACAAAAAGATCTCCTGGATCAACTGAAAATTGTTCTCGTTGTCGATTATATAATGGTGTACAAGATCAGATACATTGTAAGAATCTCTTTAACAAAACAAATTAAAAAATTTTGAATAACACGGAGTTGATTCATGGCGAGAGACTGCCACATGTTGATGATTTTCCTTATTTGATCTGCCGATCGAGTGCCGTCCTTGTGAACGACGTTCAAGAATGTAATTTCCGAACAGAAATCGTTAGTAAAAGATTCACGATCCAAGCGATGCCCTGAAGTTTTTCTATCCGTTGCCAGATCTTCGGCAAATGTTGCTGCAGTTGAAAGTCGAAGGCGCAGTTTGGCTTTTACACTGACTTTGTCAATGTGTCCTCCTCGAGTGATGAAACTAGATCTGCTACAGTACACCTTTACCCATGTCAACAGAAGTAAGTCAATTGTTTATGAATATCATCTACCAATATACTTTACCGCAATTAATAATATAGTCATCCGTATACGTATGTTAGTAATCCCCATTTAAACCCAAAATGTACAATCCAATTGTGATTTCTCCATGGAATATTTTTTGCGAATATTTATAGAATGGGCCTGAATGGCAGACGTGCGAAGGCCACTTGATTTCAGTCGAGATATTTGATCTTGTATCAGTGAATTCAAGGGAGACACAACTATAACAATACACGAACCGTCCTGATTAGATATCTCAAATGATTTCCATGGAGAAAGAAAATCGACTTGTTTAGTAAATATGATCCCTTGCAAACATCAACAATGGGTCAGATGAAAATCAGAGACTTTCAATATAAAGCGTTGGCAGGATACAAATTATAAATAACATCTTTTGTCGAATAAATAATATATGGTTAAGTACATTTAAGAGTTTGTTAAGGCCCGTTTACACGGGCAAATTGAATGTCAAAGACATTTTGCTCGTGTAGATGATAAATTTGTGACAAATTTATTGTGACAAATGCATTTAATTTGAACAAAAGCTAGCATGCTAGCTTTTGATCAAATGCATTTGATCAAATAAAATTTGTCAAAATAAAATTTGCTCGTGTGCTTTACGACAGAATTATTTGAAAGCCCTGCACAGTTGTTTTGATGCAGGACCCAAAAACACGGAGATTTGTATGTTTAAATTGCAACTCTTGTCGAAGTTTGAACACAATGTTATCAATCGTGTAATTTAACCTGGCGAAATTGAATAAATAAATAAATACTTTCCAAACAAAGAACTTGCTTCATTGGCTCGGCTTCAGTACAGTATGTTATTATGAAATGCGCTATTTATTCCAAACAAGCAAGAAATGCAATGAAACTCGAGCATCCCCGAGCATCTTCGTTCGAGTTTCCATTGAAATTATCAACTTTGCTTCTATGGCCTGGCAGCATGTGAATGACAAAAAGAACACAAACGCGCGCATAATTGTCAATTTGACAAGAAGTATTCCTCGAAGTGTTCAATGCAAATTATACAATGACAAATTGCGATATAAAGTACTCTCAAATTACACTTTTTGCAATTCAAACCAATACGTCCGCTCCTTGCCGACGAATTTTACTATTGCAAAGTGGAAGCATTGTAATTTAGATTTGTCCATCCCTCCCTTGGTAATTTAATATCCTGGGAGGCACGTGACCAGCCGGCACCAGGGTCTTTCCGCAGCTTGGGGCGTGCGTAGGTAAGAGCCTGGGTACGAGGTTGCTCTGTATTTTCGAAGAACGGCATTTGTTGTACATGCTGGCGAATTTGTTTGGAGAATAAAGCGATTTGAGTGAGAAAATTTTCGATACGAAGTGCTGTGCCGTCGTATCGACAATCGGGAATCGTTAGCCTTTATCATGTGTTTTGAACTTGGACCTTCATTATGAACGTGCATGCATAAATTTAAGTTAATGTTATTTACGTCATCGCCACGCGGGACATCGCGCGTGTGAACAAATGGTTTTGAGAGACAAAACAAAATATGCTTTTGAGATTTATAAGCGAAGTTGCAAGCCAATAAAGATATCTTTTCATTGTTGTTAACATTGCATTCCTGTCAAGCCGCCGTCTAAAACAGCTGGTCCTTCGTCCCGGATTAAGAACTACTTTGAAATGCCAGTAGAAGTGGAAATTATCGAGAAACTTCGATCGAAGAAAAAAGTCGCCAAGTCAGGCATTACAAGGAATGTAAATCGCGTTAGGGAGCTAATAAACAACAAAGAAAGCGTTTCTAAGGTACGTCAGTATGCTAAAAATATTGAAGAAGCTAAAGAAAAGGCTCGGATTGTAATAAACGAACTTGAAAAAGCCGATCCATCGTCTATTGAAGCCGATGGCGAATGGCTTGTCGAGGTCGAGTGTGACGTGACTGATGCAAAACTTACAGCAAGGTGAGTTGCCAACTGGTCGAGCATTGGGAGTTCGGTGGGATGCACGATCAGACACTCTAGGACTCGCTTATGCACATGTTGAACGTCCATCCACCCAGTCGACCAAACGCGGTATTCTAGCCAAATTAGCTGGCCTATATGATCCACTGGGATGGTCGAGTCCATTTACGGTACGTGCAAAAATCACCCTGCAACGCACATGATCCCGAGGACTAGATTGGGATGAACCCTTGCCAGCCGACATTGCATCTGAGTGGGTTAAGTGGGAATCCGAGGTCGCAGCCCTAAAGGCTTTCGCAGTACCACGGTACATTTACAGTCTGTCATCAAAAACATTGACGAGAGAGCTTGTGGTTTTCTGTGACGCTTCGGAAGATGCCTGCGCAGCTGTCGCCTACATGCGTGCAGTACTTGTGGACGGTGAAGTCATATGTCACCTAGTCATGGCGAAGACACGCCTCATGCCATTGAAAACGATCTCCATTCCCAGAGGAGAGCTGATGGGTTGTCAGCTAGCTGTGCTTCTCGCAAAAACCATCTGCGAACAGTTAGGGTTGAGTATGCTTCATGTTACATACTTATCCGATTCAACCACGGCGATATGGTGGATCCACGGAGAGCCGCGAAATTTCCAACCATTTGTTGCAAACCGAGTAGCCGAAGTGATTTCAGAGAGTGATCCCGGACAATGGCATCACGTAAGAACGGATTTGAATGTGGCTGACATTGCAACAAGGGGAGTCGCCGCCAACGACCTTAAGCCAGAATCACGATGGATAAACGGCCCAGATTTCCTAAAGTCCGATAAGTCAGAGTGGCCCATCGATGATATTCCTGGCCCACCTTCTCCAACCGCCCAGAGGGAGATGAAGAAGAAAGTGCTAGGAGCAGAAGTGGTTGTGCCAAAGCTTCTTGATCCAGCCAGCTATTGCAACTGGTTGAAGCTTGTTCGCGTTACGGCATGGATTCTGCGGTTCTGTCATAACCTGCGTAAGAAAGATCGGCGGAACGCGGAAGTTCTAAGTGTCGAAGAATTGGAGGAAGCTGAGCTGTATTGGATCAAGTCTGCACAACAAGATCGTTTTGGAGTTGAAGTCGAGTCATTGTCGAAAGGTCGTCCTGCCGCGCAAGCTAGTCGAATCGCAGATCTTAATCCACAGTTGGTGAATGGAATCTTACGTGTTGGAGGGCGTATTGACAAAGCCGAACTGCCATGGGAAGCAAAGCATCCCATCATATTAGATCACGGACACGACATCACTCGTCTGATTGTCATCCATTACCATCGGAAACTGATCCACGCCGGAGTTGAGCACGTATTCAACCATATACGTGAGAAGTATTGGATTCTACGCGGCCATTCGGAAGTCAAGAATTGCACCGTCAAATGCCCATTATGTCACCAACGTTGCATCCAGCCCCTCACACAAAGAATGAGCAGCTTATCATCTACACGCCTTGCCGGCGTTAGTGTCCCATTCCAGAATGTCGGACTGGATTATGCAGGACCATTTTCTGTCCGTATTGGTCGTAACCGAATCGAGAAGCGTAACATTTGCCTGTTTACGTGTATGCACATGCGTGCCGTGCACCTCGAAGTAGCCCACAGCCTTGAGGCAGACTCGTTCATAATGGCCTTACGACGTTTCCTAGCTCGGCGTGGAAACCCGGCCCGCATTCTGAGCGACAACGGTACCAATTTCGTCGGCGCCGAGCGTGAGTCACGAGAATCCGTTCTTGAAATCGATCAAGAACGAGTCGCCGACGAACTTAGTGCACGCGGCGTACAATGGATTTTCATTCCACCTGCTGCTCCCTGGTTTGGTGGAGCTTGGGAGTCTTTAGTTTAGTCCACAAAAAGAGCCATGAAAGCGATTATGGGTAACGTCGTCGCGGTGGACAAAGTTTTTCTTACAGTAGTCGCGGAAGTCGAGTCTCTTCTAAATTCTCGGCCACTTGTGTATGGAGGAAGCAGCACGCCAGCGACAGATGTGAGTGTTCTAACGCCAAATCATTTTCTCCACGGACGCGCAAGTGCTAATCTAACACCGGGCGAATTCGTCAAGCGAGATATGTCTTTACGTCGTCGATGGAGACACAGCCAGTTTCTAGCCGACCAATACTGGCGACGGTGGATGTAGGAGTATGTGCCGCATTTGATTAAACGCAGCAAATGGCGTACGATACAGCGAAATCTTTGGAGAGGGGATCTAGTACTTATCGTGGAGGATAACGTTCTGAGAGGTCAGTGGCGTCTAGGACGGGTTGTAGCGCCGATCGCAAGTGCGGACGGACTCGTGAGATCAGCTGAAATTGTGATGAAAGCCGGAACCTACGTTCGTCCAGTTGGAAAGTTAGCGTTGCTGGAAGCCCATCACGAAGAAGAGTGACGTTTCCCCCGGGTTCACGCCACGGGCGGGGGTGTTTTGAACTTGGACCTTCATTATGAACGTGCATGCATAAATTTAAGTTAATGTTATTTACGTCATCGCCACGCGGGACATCGCGCGTGTGAACAGATGGTTTTGAGAGACAAAACAAAATATGCTTTTGAGATTTATAAGCGAAGTTGCAAGCCAATAAAGATATCTTTTCATTGTTGTTAACATTGCATTCCTGTCAAGCCGCCGTCTAAAACATCATGTTTCATGTATACTAGAAACATAGAGTACAAAGTCTTGGAAAATATTAGTCCAACAAAGGAGGAATAAAAGGAGAACACACACTATCAAATAGGCAAGTCAACTTCATTTTAAAATTTATATTTTACGACACATTTTTACTATAATTTACATTAATATAATATACATTCATACTATATAGTCTATACTGACCCTTGCGAGATTGGGCCGCCTGTGGCAAAACTAAATACAATGTGTGACTGTGTGAGTGTGCCGATGTGTTGCTAGAGGCCCAAGAATTATATACGTACAGATGCTTAAGTTTGGAATCTTCAATCCTTGAAGATAAGCATTCAGACGGGTCGGACCTGTCTTGCCGTGCTCCGTTATTTTACTTTTAAAAGACTCTTTACTAGAAACATGGCTAGTAATATTAACTTGAAGAGTATAATGGGAAAGGATGTATAGTTGGGACGGCACATTGTCACTTAAGCAATTGGTTTCCAAAGAACTGAACCTCTCGGAAAATTGGAAATCACCCGGCGGTGAAGTCAAGCTGTTTATCTCGAGTTCATTATTCCTAAAATGGCAGGGGAAGACCAAGAAATTATGCAATCCAATCACATTTTAGCTTTTGCCTAAAAAACATTTGCATACCTACATATTCGTTCGTTCTCACGCTACGGTCTATTATTACTCTGTGCTACGGTGCAGGTTAACTATACGACTAACACAATTGAAAGCGGCTTTAGTTGTCCGTTCGTGATTATCGCACAGTGGCCAGTGCCTGAAATATGATAAAAACGCGTTCACGTTTGCCGGTTTGCCTATACTCTTTTGGACATATTGTTTTTAGTGATTGTGTGACGTCATTTTTGAGTGCTAGTTCTCAGAAAGGGGACGTCCCATACCAGGAAGTGGGGCGTTTCGAAATTTTGTTTTTTGAGTTATTGACTATCGAGGTGAAAAGCATGTTGTTATAGTAAAGATAGAGATCCAAGAATTAAATACAGATGCTTAAGTTTGAAAGCGGGACTGAATGATGATATTGGAGAGCTTGCAGCCGTGTGATTAATGGTAAGATTTGTAACTTTTTGTACGGTATGTAATTATTCTCTGGCAAATGTGAACACGGACGCCATTTTTGCTTGAAGTTCGAAAGTCGATTATCTTAACCCTAGGTTAACCTAAACTCAAAGCAAGTTTCCAAAAGCTTGTTATAAATTTGGAAGTATTTCTACCGAAATTTTGTCTACGTGATACGTGCAGAAATGAGAAATGCATAAACTAAACGAAGTGGCTATTCGTACTGGAATATGGCACCTGATTCTTACATTACGTAAACTAAAACAGGCAAACAGCAGGTTGAATTTTAACCAAAGGTTTATAGCGCTAATCTAGCTTTGAATTAGCTTTGACCAACCTTTGGCATGGAATTCCTTTGGAAATTTATTTCTGTACTGTACAAGTAGAATTTACTGAAAATATGACCAAATAACTATAGCCATGTGACATATTGATATACTCTAAGGTAGTGTAAGCAAAATTCCCACCTTTTATCATTTTGATATATTTAGGGCCGGAACTACTAGGGTGTAACACCCCAAAGAAAAGTAAAAAAAAGGAGCCCAGAGGGGGCCCAGGATTTGCAGAACGTGTTAATTTGCAGCTGAGGACAAATCTATTTCCCTCTCACCGTGATATATATGGTAGATACCATTTCCAGGGCTGTCAATATGAGGATGTGTCCGCAACCTTCTGTGGAAGAACCAACCTGTTAGGAACCCACAAACGTGGGAGAACTAAACAAGCAGTTCGTAGGTGCGTAGCACCGAGTCGGCTATCAGCCATATACGACGAGAGCGAATGGTATAATTGTTTTATAATATAGTCTAATATAGCCATTAACTGAAGCAGTAATTAATTATTCACTGTTACAATGTGTTGACAATTTTTTCGGCCAAACACCGCTTGAAAATTTGAAATACTTCTGTTTTACAACTCGAAGACGAAGTGAAAGAAATGGTTTTAGAACCTCTATATCTCACAGGAAAGCTCAAATATATTATAGAGATGTTTGGTACTATAGTAAGTGCTTGTTGACTGCAAATTCATTTGTCGTTCATTGCAAACTTTTCTGAACAATTTATATTCTCAATAAACTTGTTTTTTCGCTGTTGTTTCGGTATTAATTCTTTAAAAAACTTGCATTTAAACTAATTTCTACGTAATAAATGTATTTTGCTAACCTGTCAAATTTTTTTTGAGAGTTTTTCCTTGTAATATTATTATTCTCAAAGCGAATATTTTCCTTTTTCTGCTTCGCAAAACTCATGTAGTTTTTGGACCGCCATCTTGTTTTTCGCTACTCGCCGTATATGAGCTGATATACGGCGAGTAATTCAACCAATCAAATTGCAGAACAGCTCATATACGGTGGATGACTATGTTATTGCCATTAGTTACTATCGAATGCGGGAGATTATTGTTATCATGAGACGGTGTAGGGAAGGAAGTTGAGAATGGGTTAAAGGTTAATGAAGATGAATTAGGAGATTTGTGAGCGCGTTTCAGTTGTAAGTAAATTGTAGGGATGTCAATGTGACGGTTAAATGTTTGTTTGTCTAAACTATGCCAAGCTTCTTTAAACTCACGGGCATGTTTAGTAGTTGCTTGTCCTAGGCATCTCGTTTGAGACGGGAGTATCTAATTGGAGCGGGTAGCGGGTCGCGGGTAAAAGGAGCGGGTAATTAAAAAAGGAGCGGGTAAAAGGAGCGGGTAATTAAAAAAGGAGCGGGTAAAAGGAGCGGGTAATTAAAAAAAGAGCGCGTAATTTCCCAGGTGCTAAGCGCAGGTGGGGAATTTTAAAGAAAAAAGACATTTTTTTACGAAAGTGTATAACATGAGGACCATTTTTACTAAGTGAAACCGTTGATTTCACATAAAAAATCTCGAAAATTCTATCAAATGTTAAATTGACAGATATTTAACAACCTGAACATGTCTTATGCGGGTTTTTATATACGTACATGCCTTACGTACATGGCGGCCATCATGACCTTAAGCCCCGTTTACACTACGCTGAATTTTTGGTACCGTACCACTTTTTTGGTTCTTAAAAGAACCACCGCACCAATTAGGCATGGCCCGATTGTGCTCGTAAAATAAAAAAAAGTTGCTCGCTAAAGCTAGAAAGTTGCTCGCTAAAAAGCATAAAAGTTGCTCAAAAGTTGCCCGAAATAGAAAAAAAGTTGCTACTAAAATTCAAAAAGTTGCCCGTATGTATTACGTTAATCAAGAGATTTATACAATTTTTGCACGCTCGGATGAACTTCTTGTAATTAACAATAAACGTTTTAAGTTTAACAAATAGCAAGACAAATGTCATACAAATATCAACACGAATACCTAGCATAACAAATCTTCCAATAAAATAACATCGCAAGTGTTGTCTTTATAGCACTGCGTTTCTTACGCTAACTATTTCAAGTTTGGGGTTCGACGACTGTATGTCTCATATCGTATAAAAATATCGTATATTTATAAGCCGCCATTTTGTTTTCAAGAGAACACAGGCAACTCTAGTCCCCTAGCAAGCAAATACCAAGGGAAAGCAAGGAAGCAGCATGCATTCAAGGGTGTAATAATATTTATTTACAGCGTATTACATAGAATATTTAATTGAGCCTGTGCACATCATGTATTACGCTGTACTGATAATAAAATTCTGTAGAATGTGCACAGAAATATATCGCAAAAAATGAAGTTGTAAACATTTCAATATTTCAAGCTGTAAAGTTTTAATTTTAGTAAAAAGCCTGAAAGTTGCTCAGAAATTGCTCAAAAACGAAAAAGTTGCTTCAAGTTGCTCGAACTGAAAAAAGTTGCTCCAAACGCAAAAAGTTGCTCAAAAGTTGCCGAGCACAATCGGGCCATGCCTAGTACCAATACGGTTACCGATTTTATCCGTGCCGTACCAAAAATTGAGCGTAGTGTAAACGGGGCTTTAGAGTTCACTGGTTTAAACTGAACGTGAGCGCCTTATTAAAACACCCTGTGTTTGGAAACTATTGCTCTATTGTACGTGTAGTCTAAAAATGTGTATACATGCTACACCACTATCAGCCGTTCTGAATAAATTCAATGGTGTTCTGCAAACCTAAACCCTAACCGTGCAAACCGTGTTCAATATGTTCATAGTTTTCCACAGTTTGGTGAGGCAAAAGCCGAGACAGACTGTATAGTTTTGAGTAGCACTTGTGCATGTTATAATAATTTTTGTCCATTTGGTGACCCAAAAACGTTGCGCTGGTGTGTACGTATTTTCAGCACGTCATAATAAGACATGTTCAGGCTGTTAAATATCTGTCAATTTAACGTTTGATAGAATTTTCGAGATTTTTTATGTGAAGTCAATGGTTTCACTTAGTAAAAATGGTCCTGATGTTGTTACACTTTCATAAAAAAATGTCTTTTTTTTTCTTTAAAATTCCCCACCGGCATTTAGCACCTGGGAAATTACCCGCTCTTTTTTTAATTACCCGCTCCTTTTTTAATTACCCGCTCCTTTTACCCGCGACCCGCTACCCGCTCCAATTAGATACTCCCCCAAACTCTAACCCTAACCCCGAACATTTGTACGCTAACCGTAAAGCCCAGGTGAAATGAGAATAAGAGCTCACATCTAGATTAACAAAACAAAGGTTTACATGAGTATTGTAAGTACACGATAACTTTGGAAAAGCATTAAGAACGGCTAACCCAGGTCACGGCACTTTCAAGTCCATATATGCCGATGAAAGTGCCAACCACTTCAACCGGTACTTCAACTCTGTATTTTTTAAAAAACTCTGGAGATAGTTGTTGCACTGTTTCACCATCGTGCAGCGAAACTATTTCAGAGATCATTTTAGCCGAAGTGCGTAACGAAAATAACCACCCGCCTACTAAAAAAATGCGCGTCTAGCATCACTCTACCACGTACTAATCTGTTAACCCAGTATTATCTGGCACATTTTGTAGGTTCTATACTAGAAAAACAAATGTGCCACAAGTGTTCCATGTAGAATACATATTAGTGTCGGGAAAGCATTGTGAATAGCTAACCATGATATCGCGTTACTTGCGCTGTCACCCATAACTTTAACTTCTATCTTTTAGCCAGACCCTAACCGCTAACCCCAATCTCGACTTAAAGTCGGTTATAACTTATAATTTGATGTGAACGCGAACTCTCTGCCCCCCAAGGTAGACAAATCGTACACAGACAAAGTAGACACATATATGGTTAGCCAAGTATAGATATATCGCACCTTAATAAGTACCATATGTAGAGTGCGCTTTGTGTAAATAGTATGCATGAAGTTTTTGTTCTATATACTTCAGTAAAACTCTGTACGTGCACTGAATAGATGTAGTCTTTCTAATTTAACGGTTAATCCGTAGAGTTGTGACGGTGCGACTTGCCTAATTATATCTAACACATCTAATGTCGTACTAAAAGACGGGTTACAGTCCATTCTGCGCATGTGCGATTCTTTTTGTGTTGGTAGACTACTCATCTCTCGTTTCCATGATTTCCAGTCCGATTTCGTAATATACGCGCGGAAATCTCTTCGAAACTGTGTATTGCCACTTGTACAGTATCAACAATATGTAATTGCGCGTATATTACGCAATCGGGCTAGAAACCATGGAAACCAGAGATGAGTAGTCTACCAAAACAAAACAAAAAATCGCACTTGCGCAGAACGGACTGTAACCCTTCTTGCTATTTGCCTGTTCGGTTGTTCATAGCGGGAAAATGTATACTATTATTGACAGTTTCCCTTTTCCGTTTAATGTTAGGATATAACTGAAATTATCCCCGAGCCGACGGCGCGAAGCGCCGTGCGAGGGTACTAATACCCCCCCGGCTATTTACACCCGGGAAAACGAAAGCATTAGCGAAGTCTAAAGTTCATCAAATATCGCGGGCGTGGGTCACTGTGCGTGTTCCGGTGGGTGGTCATCCTCACTGATCTCATAATATAGCGGACTGTAATGAATAGGCAACACTGATTGGTCCAATTTAAAATTGGCATTATAACGGCTGCATGACGATTGACGACAGCAAAATTGATTTGATGATTTCTTGCAAATATATTTCATTTTTGCAAGATTTTGTAAATTGCAAAGGATTTTTGATGAAATAAAGGCAAGAGGATTGCTAAAAGAAGGAAGTAAAGGTGCCGACGTTAACGAAGGTAAGTTTGTTTTAAATATTGATGCATTGCTTGCTTTTAATATACTGTAATCTCGGCTGTAATTACTTTAAAAGCCGATCGTTGCGTATATAAAATATGAAACAAGACAGCGTATTATTTCAGTGTTTCTTTAATGATTACACTTTTTATTATACTAGGCAAAGTTACTTTACATGAGAGAATTTGGAATCATTTTATTTCGAACTCAAAGTTTATCGATAAAGGCAGTTTAGTTCTATATTAAAAGAACACTTTCAAACGTTTTGCGAACCGTTTGTGGTTGAATTTTACCTTAAATTGAAGCTTATCTTACGTATAATAACATACCTACTGTAATTATTTAAAAGCCGATCGTTGTGTATAAATATGAAACAAGACAGCGTATTATTTCAGTGTTTCTTTATTGATTACACTTTTTATTATACTAAGCAAAGTTATTTGCATGGGAGTATTTGGAATCATTTTATTTCGAACTCAAAGTTTATCGATAAAGGCAGTTTAGTTCTATAGTAAAAGAACATTTTAAAACGTTTTGCGAAGCGTTTGTGCTTGAATTTTACCTTAAATTCAAGCTTATATTACGTATAATAACATACCTAACATATATATGCTTAGGAAATTGATGTTGTAATTAAAAGTGATATTTATAGGGGATTTTTCATTTGTAAAAATAGTCTTAAAAAATTATCGTGTTACCATGACAACTACTTAAAATACTTCACGTTCGGAAAATAAAATGGTTTTGTCAGCAAGGCGAGGGTTTCTGCATGCATGTATTTTCTAGTAGCTACAGTATCTGACTAAAGCAATTTTTTACAGCATTTCCGTTGTCCAATCGTGGCAGTAAAGGAAGATAGTAAACATTTGGATTACAGTTTACAAGTATAGAAGGTGTCATTGATATTGGCGGTACGTTTTCATATTCTATATATCTATAACCTATCAAAACTGAAAATACCAAGATGCGTAGCGAAATTGCTCAATCAAATTTTATATAATACCTAGCCTCTTCCGCAGGCATCTCGTGGTACTTACTTAGAACAGTGAACTATATACAGTTCTGTTGTATAGTTCAGTGACTTAGAATCGGTGAATCTTAAAATCTCTCCCGAATTTTCTCCCTGCACAGTAACCCAATCAGAAAACATCGGTTATTCAATAATTAAATTAAGAAATGCCTGCGGAGAAGGCTGTATAATCAGTACCGTATATCCAAGGTAACCGAGAATGCGATTTATAATAGACTGTATGAGATTCCCTTATATGCCCCATTTCCGATCATTTTCTATTCTTAAGCATACTCAGCAATGTGATACCTTACATCCCATCTTTCCCTGTACGCATGAACTAACAGCTGAAATTGCCTATTAGCTCTACATTAATTCCCAATTCAGACGTCACTCCATTCACGCGCCGAATTTTTAGACCTTTCTCATAATGACGTCAGGGCGAATAAGCACTTAATTAATGCGATGTGAATTAACAAAAATTTACAATCAAATCATTGCTAGGCCAACCAAATTTTATGTATTTGCAGTGCAAGATGTTGCTAAACATTGTCCGCGCGCGGGACATTGCTTTGTTGTCATTATAAAAAAGGTTTATTGTCGATATATGCCACGTTGGAGGAGAAATATCAGGGGGGAGTGGCTCGGAACTTAATTATGCTGAAGTTTTGCCGCTTCAAATTCTGTCACAATTGAATGAGTCGAGTTATTGGTAATCTTAGTCCGGAGAAAGAAACTAAACGTGGAACATTCGTGCAAAACCTCGTGGAGAACAGAGGCTTAAAAGTCGATCAAGAAATTTCATGCTGGCGTTAGCCCTCAAAATTTCGACAACTTGGCTGTTTAGTTTGAGTCGCTCTTTATAATTAACAAATATAAAACATTTTCCGTGTTGATTAGCCTTCGTAACAGACGCTTTTAGGCGGAGAGCGAGGGTGGGAAAGCAAGGGGGGAGGGAAGGAGATGTGAAGGCGAGAGCAAGAGAGCGAGGAAAAATGAAAGGGGCGAGAAAGAAATAGCTATTTCTTTCTCGCCCCTTTCATTTTTCCTCGCTCTCTTTGTCTCGCCTTTGTATCCCCCCCCCCCCTTAGCTTCTCTCGCCCTCCCCTTTAAATAGCGCCTGCTACGCAGGCTACGTGTTGATATACAGTTATATCAACACGAGTGGAACTGGGGAAACGAGAAATTGTATGGAAACACGACGCCCGAGGGGCGGAGTGTTTTCATACAATTTCGAGTTTTCCCACGAGGGGTCAAGGGGGGTCAGCTCATCCACCAGCCTCCTGATAAAAACTAATGGTCCCCTGGACCGTGGGAAATGGTGTTTTCAGAGTCTTTCCTACCCAATATTTCAATATTTTAGTATTGCTTAACTTAACAATGAAGATAAGTATCGCTATATACTTACAGTTTAATGTGGGGGAAGAAATTAAGAAAATTTGGAATCTCCTGATCGTCAGAAAGCGTATTGGGCAATTGCCCCAAGGAAGCAGGGGGCAAAGTGACCCCAACCCAGTTTTAGTCCTGACTCACGGATAGCATGCATAAACTCAAAAGTTATAATGAAAGAATTAATAAAAGGGCCTAACAAAAGAAGTAAAGAAGACTCTAAAAATGCCATTTCCGACAATTTAGAGACGCAAAATGTTCAACATTTTCCCGCTATGAGCCAACCATGATGGCGCTTCGTGTGAGTCTGGCCCTCTAAGTTTGTCAAGCTGCCTGTTTGAGTTGTGATATCTACATAAACATGCCATGCAAGTACTTCACTACAGCATAATGTAATGCTGAATATCCAGAAATCTGTTTCCCGGCCGAAAATGCTGGAATTGCAGCCATATACGGGTAGAAAAATACAAATATTTTCTGGGAGGAAATATCCCAAGATCTCACTTTTCTAGTAACCGAATCGACCTGACCGTGCAGCTCAGTTGGCAGAGCATTCGGCTAGTATTCCAAAGGTCGTAGGTTAAATTCCAACCGTGGCCAGGCATATTTTTCAAGCTTGCCCGGGCATTAATCTGTTTATATATGTGTAATAATAATATAGCAATTGTAAATTCTGAACGGTGATTGGCTAAGAGCCGTGTTGATATAACTCAATGTCAACACGGATAACATCGGAAAACTTCCTTCTTTATGTTTTTTTGTGCATGTTATAGAACAAATATAAAACTTTTCCGTATTGACATACTGTTTTATAAAATAGCCTTTTAAAAACACGATCCCTGATTGGTCAAAAGCTCAAAAAACCTGTGTTTCTATAACTCGATAAAAACACCGGGAATTTTCACGCGCGTTGCGTGGATTGCGCGGGAGTTTAAAAGACAAAATACAAACAATATTTAATTTTGAAAAAATGTTGAAAAACATCCGAAAACGCCGAAGAACCGTTACAAAAAAGTCAACACTTTGCTAACTTAGAAAGCGAAGACCTAAAGCACAAAGTATAGTAGCACACGTTGTGTTTGTTTGACTGACAGTGTCTTTTCAAATTTATCTTTTCTACTGTTTTTAAAAGGCCATTTAATTAACAAAGGAAATAGAGTTTCTATAGAGTTTATAGAAACACTTGTGAAATGTGATGTTACTCTGAGTGTGTATCCACACCGGGCAGGCTTGAAAAATATGCCTTCCCATGATCACCGTGGCCAGGCATATTTTTCAAGCCTGCCCGGTGTGGATACACACTCAGAGTAACATCACAAGCATCTTATTCCCCTGAGTACACTACACGAACACAACAAATATAACACTTGTGAAAGTTTGGGAGAAACTCGAAGTTGCGTGATGCAATTTATCTTTTCTCCCGCGTCTTTCTATAACTCTATAAAAACACGGAAAATGTTTTCTATTTCTAAAATATCAAAACTCGCGGAAATTGGGAACACTCGGAATTGTTTGAAAATACTCCGCCCTTCGGGCGTCGGTTTATCAGGTACAATTACTGTATATAATTGTTTATTACTGTTTACACGGCACAACCGAGTAACTGACCTTTTAATTTTCCCAACCTCTCGTGGTAAAGATCTGAAAAATTGATACTGTAACTATCCGTTCGATTTAGTTCCATTGTCCAGCATATTAGTTCCATGCAGAAACATGCCTTATTACTTAATATAATTTTCTAATTCTATAGGAGCAATGACGGTGCATTTTTTGAAAAAAGAAAAAGAATTACAAAATGAAAGACGTCGCCATCGTGTAGCTGACGTAAGCATAAAAATTCGCTCAATTTAATTTCTCTAATATGGCTCAGCATTCCCGTCATCCATTGTTTTATGTACAGATAAATTTAAAAAATCCGATAAGTTATTAAATTTATCTACGCACATTAATTCATTTGCTTATTTCGTCATTACTGTACAGTTACAGAAATTCACTTTTTCCGGTGGGCTGCAAACAGTGGCGTAGCCAGCCCGACAATTTAGTCCCGCAATTTAGTCCCGCTATTATTACATTATTCATTTCTTTAGAAAATGATTGTTTTTACAGTCAATGAATACAAAAATATTTGCATAGCGGAACTAAATCGTTGGGCTGGCTACGTGCTACTGGGTGCAAAGGCTCTTGAATTTCTGACAAACTTTTCAAATTTCCGGAAAACCCTTCCCCCATTAGCACTCGGAAAGGCTTCGTCATTTTCCCTGAAGTTGGGTTTGAAGAATCATCTCTGTGTCCTCGTAATGAAATATTTTGCCTTCCACAAAGAACAATTGCTCCAACGATGGGTCTTAATATTTGTCTGTTCTCTTCTATTTGTTGCCTTTTCATTTCATCCAGCAAAACATCAATGGGTTCCGATTTCTTTTCCATGTGCGATCTCAATATTGCTGCACGCGATGTGGCTGCTTTGTGTAGTGGCGACTTTTCCGAATGCTCACGAAATTTGGTAGATGCAACTTTCCATGTTCTTAAGGGGGATGTAAATAGCCTGTTCAGTTTACTTGTATTGTGCACACCTTTACATTCCGAACCAAATAACACGCAATTTATGCAGAAAGCTCCATCCACCTTTTGTGAATACGCTAGCCACGGGAATAAGTTCAACCATTCAAAACGGAACTTTCTTTTGTCGTTGTCCAATGGAAACGTGTACGTTGCCGATGGTCTCCAAACATTACAAAGAACATGGTACTTTCGTTCATCAGTTAACGAGGATGCGTTCGCGTAATTGGCTATGTCTGTGGGAAAACTAGAAGGATCCGGTTTTGAAAATGATTCTTTTTGTACCAGCGAGCTGCTTGGCCGTTTCTTCGGTTGTTGGTTATGAATTTGAGCCTCTTCATCACCACTTTGCTCGCCGAATTTTCTTTTCTTCGGAAATAAATTATCAAGAACAGCTTGCTTTTTTTTAACTTTTTGTGTACCAGAAGATAAAGGTTGCGGAGCGGATGAAGGTTGATGGCCAGATGAGGGTTGGGGAGCAGACAATGCCTGTGATATTTTTCCAGCATATGAAGGGGTCGTCCTTATTTCGGTCGAACTTGCGTCAATACCGGAGAGAACGGGCTTCATAAAAAACTTCTGAATGCAGGTTGGGTCACTGATGTTGTCTTTTGGCTTACAGAGGGCAACGTAATGGTTTTTACGTGCAGGAATTTTACTCACCACAGAATAATCTATTGGCATCAGTGCACACCGAAAAATGTGAATCCTCTCATCAGAATTCAATTTAGTTATTACTCGTGGCTGAATAGTGCAATTAAACATTGTGGACAAAGAATCTTTCTTCTCTTCGGAGGTGCTTTCATTTGTTGTTGGGATGGGAAAGTATGCCTCAATTGGAAGGCTTATTGCACTTGACAATGCAAGAAGGCAAAGGAACGAGCTCCACTGGCGATTCAATGCATTGTTGTATGATTCGGTTACAACAGATTTACTAAGATCGTCCTTAGCAAGCGAATCCAGAGCTATATCGGACAGGCACATTGCAAAAGCATTTGCAATGCAAGAAAATGCGCCTTTGTTATGCTGCTGCTCTAAGATAGGGTGTTTTACATAAAACAAAGAATTTACAAAAAGCTCAATGCTTGTAAGACAACGCAGGTAAGGTGCAAGGGTCTCGTTGCCACACAATGCAATGGAACAAGCATTGTACAGGCAGTTTCCATCTCCTGTTGTCCTAAAAGGGGGTGAAGACGGAAAACCACGTAAGCCCATTAATGGTAATTTGTATTAGTATCAATGCTGAAATAGTCATTTATTGGTTGGTTTATGAATGTTCACCCTCATTCAATTCAACATCAAATATTACTGTCGTTCCAATTGAAGTGTTCCTCAAATATTGATTCAATACATTACCTCGGGCTGACCAATTCATTTCATCAAGTTCCTCGAGATATTCATACACTTCCTGTGAAAGAGCCAATTCCAAGTATTTGATCATTTCTGATCACTTCCTCTCCATTTATGATTGGTTAGTTGCACAAACAACAAAGGTGATTGGCGTATTCAAACTATTCAACAGGAAGTTTACAATTATACTGGGAAGTATATGAATATCTCGAGGAACTTGATGAAATGAATTGGTCAGCCCGAGGTAATGTATTGAATCAATATTTGAGGAACACTTCAATTGGAACGACAGTAAACAACAAGTCATATGATATTAGGCCGTAGGGATCATTTAAGAAAGTAATGAGTATACAGGATTATCAAAAAAACTGAACCTTTCAAATTCATATTAGCTATAATGTATTGTAGTAATTTGACAGCTCTAATTGCTTTGAATTAATGGTTGGGTAAGAACACAAGAAATACTGTATTTCTTTTAAATTTTCTAATTTTTATTTCTTTGAGCTTTGTCCCATGAATACAAGACCTAGTGTTCTTATCCAACCATTAATTTAAAGCAATTAGAGCTGTCAAATTACCCAGGGCATCCATAATCAAAAACTGTGCACTTCATCAGTCGTGTAACTTTACCTTTTTTGAGCACTTGCCCTCAGGACAAGTTGGTCATGAAAATTAGTTGCCCTGAATAAAATTCACTTGCGATCAGACAATGGCCACCGGGGTACAGAGGTAGGGGGTATAAAATAAGGGGACAACTTGCCCATCATGTAAGGGTTTACTAGCCCGTCATGATACTGTATTCACTTGCCTGTGGCAAGCGGGCAAGTGTTAAGTCACACCTCTGCTCATCATAGCTGCTCATCTGAGAAAAAATCTTTGATATTCAGCACAGTCAAATAAAATTAAAATTAGACACCCTAGTTATGCATTTAAGATTAAGGCAAAATACAAATGTTGAAGTTTTCATGTGTCGAACCAGACACGGATGAGTGCAAACACTAGATATATGTCATTTACACTGGGTTGTGAACATGGTAAGTGCAATGTTGGAGCTACAGTAAGCCGACACAAATTCCTAATAGTACAGAATATCAAGATTCAAGAATGTGAATTTAGGATTGAGGGGTACTCCTATTTTTTTTACACATGCCTTCATGTGAATCAACGTCAATGAATACATGGCACCTTCACAGGAATTGTCATAAGATTGCATCCTAAGAAACTCATCGTATTTAATATTATATTTAGGTACTGTGGCCTTTTAACTGTATGTTCAACCCTTGCAAAGTCAATCCTAATTGTGAAGGTGCTAATAGATATCAACAGTCTGAATGTGCCCTACTGTGTCCATTCCCAATGCATCCTACTTTGTTAATTTTTTTCAATATAATTTCACGAAATTTCCAGTGGTGGGATGTAAACACACTACCTGCTTATAGGAAGGTAGTCGAGAGATAGTGAGCAATAAAATGGACAATAAAAATCAGCGAAGGCAGGTATCCCTGGTAATCAGTCTAACAATACTGTATCTCCGGGAATTTCTCTAGCCATCTGACCACAATGATTCAGGCAGCCTTCAGGATTTCACTCGACATCAAGGGAGAGCCATGGGTTTGGGGTTCACATTAATTTATAGCAAATCACAAACTTAACACCACATCTTGGTGAAATGGACCATATCGGCACCAGGGCTGGGTTTAACAGCTGTATACAAACAACCTCATTTGACAATTTTTTTAACTCTCTGTGCCAGTGACAGTCAGTGTACATGTAAGTTAGCAGTGCCAATAATAATATATGATATTCGTTTATAGGGATGCAACTACCTTATATTTTTCTCAGGTAGTTGCATCCCTACAAATTTGACTATTGGAATTCTAAACTATTTTTACTGCACTGTCGCCATATCTTATAATATCATATTACATACATTCACACAAGTCTGTTGTTTGTGCTGTTGAATAATATAAATAATTTCTATTTTTGTCACTTTAGTATTGATACAATGATTCATATACTCGACAATAAATTGCAAATTATAAATCCATCTTGTGTTATTAAACTGACTGTTAACTAATAACATTTATACCGAAATACAACACCTAGTACTAACTCATACATCGAACGATTTATACACATCACAAATATCGTTTCATATTCGTCCATGATAAATCGAAATACGCGTCGTGAAAACAGACCATAGGTATTTATTAAGATACAAATATGCTAATATATTCTAAGAGACAGAATTAACATTTGGCATCGACGCGTTATTACAATATATATTATTCATGAGGCTTACCTGACAGGAAAGTAATTTGCACAGCGCTGTTGTTCACTTTGCGGGAATTGCAGTTGAGAAAATTCGCACACGAATACTTTGCGATCTGCTTTCTTCTTCGTCTCATTCACAATAATCTGCTCACAAATATTTTTCAGAGCGGTCAATTTACTGGACTTCTCTGCGAATGAAAGCTTTTCATTCAGAATACAAAGAAGCTCATCAAGAGGATCAGTCGAAGCCTTGCTTGCTTTGAAGAATAGCTAGCGTGTTATTCACTGAACACAGATCACATCGGTCAGAAGCAGTGGCCAAATGTTGGCCACCGTAGCAAACTGTAGCATTTGCCGGATTTTGATTGGTTTGCTTCGATTGACCGTAGCAAACCAATCAGAATGCCGCATATGCAAATTTTCGCTACGGTCATATTCATTAAGGTTGAATCTGACCGTAGCGAAAATTGACCATATTTGGCGATCAAGTTACAGTATATTTCTGATGGATGCGATTTTGTGCGAGTGAACTGATCTGATATTAATACCCGTTTTTCGGGCGGAAAGGCAGTTTTTCGGGCGGAACGGCAGGTTTCACGCATTCCTTTCCGAAAGGAATATGCCACGGTACGTAAAGAGGTTGAAAACGATCGATTGACCTGAATTAAATAAAATCCTGAAATTGAAAATTTGAATGTAAACAAAATTACATCAATATACTTAAGTAATATTTTTAAATAATTTGACTGAATTTGAAAGTTTTCCTTGGAAAATCTGACCGTAGCATATGCTACAGTTGCAACGGTCTGGATCCGCCCCTGTTGCCAATAACTGCATGCCGATGGTCGCAAACCTTGTCCTTGAACATCTTCCAGTTTACCCAATGTAAAGGCATGCCACATCTGCTGCAAGATATGCAGTAGATGAGATGGGAAGAGGAGGTGCATGAGAAATGTGGTGCTTGATGTGAAATTCAGATTTAGGTGCGAAACAATAGTGGTGGAATCTATAAGGCATCACAGGTTTTATTTTAGATGACAGTGCCTTTCTGTGGCGTCCAAGCCTGTGTTAGGGAAGCTATGGACAAGGGTTTCACTGATATTTTTGCTGTGTCGAAAAGAGACTAAGGGGTTATCGGAGAAAATGGAAGATGTTTTCAGAGACTAAGGGGTTATCGGAGAAAATGGAAGATGTTTTAGGGCCTTCCCTCGAAACGTCGAGTTTCTGCTTATTTTTTAAGGTAGTAATATGGTTACTCAGCACAGCATTTTCACATTGGTACTACCAACACTGGCACAGACAGTTTTAATATGATAAACTTAAACCTTTTTGTTCTGTATTCATGGTGGTATTGATGGCTACAATCGTAGAATTTTGTGGTTAAAAGTAGCATCTTCAAATAACGACCCTGAAATTGTTGGTTCCTATTTTATAGACTATGTGAATGTAGTAGGTGGAAGAGCGCACGTAATTTGTGCTGATATGGGAACAGAGAATGTAAACGTGGAAGGCATGCAAAGATTCTTTGGCAGATCATCTTAAGATGGCTTCGCTGGCGACAAAAGTTTCATGTATGGAATATCTAGATCAAATCAACAAATTGGCATTCATGCTCTGGACTCTCAAAAGCAGGCGGCAATTCAAAAGTGGGTGGCAATTCATCCTCACTGTCGCTTAGGGAAAATCATTAATTTCCTTCCTCCAATTTGGACAATAAATACATTCTTACTTTGGACAACTTGTGCTGTGTAATGTATCTTGCTAAAGTAAAGTCCTCATCTTTTATTTCCTTGCACTTGAAGTTGCCTAACTTGAATTTCATAGCACATGCATACCCAAAAACAATATTTCTGTTTGTAAACAAGATAGCTATCATTTCTTTAAGTATCTCTTCTTTTGCAGAACAAACTGAGAGACTGATATTTCGAGCTGTTCCAACTCGTCCCATACGAACTCGACACATATATTTCGGTTGTCAACATGTTGCCAACCAACAGAAATCTTGCGATTTGGTGTTTTTTAACCGGTGGCGACGCAGACACATTTTCCAATTTCTCTTTAGAGATCTTATTCCTTGGCAGCTTTGACTTTAAGCTCTCAAGGAGTTTTCAGTTCTCTCTTCCTTAGTTGCTTCATTGCCTTGTTTGCAGAAGGCTCTTAAAGCTAATATGTCTCTCTTTTGTGTTAGGCCTAATTCTTGTAATTCTTCATCTTTGGCCAACAATATAGCTGCAATGTCCATCTAATAAAATACACAAAATTACAAAAATATTCTTTATTGTTAAAATAAAAGCCATTATACTAACCCATGAATACAAATTATACCAAATAATGGGAGACTAGAGACTGGAATGGCCAGAGCTTTTTGGGGGGCTCGGGGCAATATTACCTTTTGGGGCTTCTAAATTTAAAATTTTTCCACACCTCCAGTTTTGTATCCATTATTTATTTCCAGATCCCTCACTTTTTGCCACTTTCTATTTAAATTTTTTTACAAATAAACAGTTCTGATTGGATATCACAAATTACCAATTTGTTTGCGATGAGTGCATATCCACACCGGGCGAGCTTGAAAAATATGCCCGGCCA